TTAATATGTTAGTATGCTCGATGTCTACGTGACACTTACATATGTTATGTATGGTATACTCACCGGGCAAGGCCCGATGCCAGGCGGGGCCTGATGAGTATATTGTATGCTAGTTATCAGTATGTGCTTTTATGCTTACCGGGCGAGGCTCGATAAATTTATGGTATGTTATAGTCTCTATGATTATTGCATGTGCTAGTAAGATTATATGTTTGTATGATTATATGGTTATATGATTATGTGTGTATCGGGCGGGGCCCAATGTCATGTGGGGCCTGCTGATGGACAGATCTGTAATTCGAGCGAGGCTCTATGTCAGGCGAGGCACGAAGCCGAGCGGGGCCCTAGGCTAAGTGGGACTCGATACCGGGCGGGGCCCGATGCATGGCGGGGGCCTAGTATGTGTTTTATGTATGTATGGTATGTGGTATCTTGGGGAACTCACTAAGTTTTGTGCTTACAATTTTAAGTTTATGTTTTTAGATGTTTCTGGTTTCAAAGGTAGAAGCTCGGGATGATTGCAGGGCACACACCACCTCGTTCCGAGTTTTGTGATTTACTCTGATTTTATTGGTCGATTGATACACTTGTTTTATTAGGATTGTATTGATGATGTTTTTGGAATACTGATTTTATTAAATAAAAATGATTTTTTTGGGTCTTTTATTTGGGACGTTACACGAACCTCATACAAGAAAATGAAGAAGAACTCATCTTGATGATGACAATCTTACAAGAATATGTACCTGAAAAGGTGTCGCTAAAAGAGAAGATTTGTGTTAATCTTCTTGCATCGGGGAGATTTGAGTTGAGACCAAGTTATAGTATCTCGACAATGGTGCTAGCAACCATATGATCGGGAGACCGCTCAAAGTTCCATGAGTTAGATGGAAATATTACGGGTCAGGTGAGATTTGGCGACGGTTCCAATGTTACTCTTTTTGGAAAAGGGTCGATTTTATTTGAGTGTAAAAATAACGACCAAATACTTTTGAAAGTGTATTACATTCCAAGTCTTAAAAATAACATCATTAGCCTTGTATAAATGATGGAAGAAGGAAGTCGAGTTATTATGGACGGTTCGGATTTGACGTTACACGATAGAAATAAAATTATACTTTTTAGATTTCAAAGATCACCAAACTAGTTATACAAAACTCCATTGAGAACCTATAGACCAACATGCCTTTCGCCATGAAGGACGAACCGACTTCGATGTGGCATTCAAGACATGGTTATTTTAATTTTTCCGCCTTAAAAAATTGTCTACAAGGAATATAGCAATCAGATTTCCAAGGATTAAACATCCAAATCAAGTGTGGTGTGTTCTTAAAAAACAAACCCAAATCTCTCTCCCAAGCCAAATGCTCTTTCGAGATTAAAAACAACTTCAACTTGTTTATGCAGACTTATATGGTCCGATTACACCCACCAATAGTGGAGGAAGAAAATATTTTCTTCCTTTTTGTAGACGATTATAGTCGGGAGATATGGGTTTAAAGTTTATTTGGGAAGTTTGAAACCTTAGATGGTTTCGAACGATTCATGTTGATGGTTGAAAGACACTTTGGTTAGGAATTGAAGACACTTCATATGGATCGTGGGGGACAGTTTACATCAAAATAATTCTCATCGTTTTGTGAAAGAAAATAGACTAAAAAGGCGTCTTATGACTCCATATTCGCCTCAACAAAATGGAGTTGTAGAGAGATGAAAGTGTACGGTTATGGATATGAAAAGAAGTTTACTTAAAGGAAAAAATTTACTCGGAGAATTTTGGGGAGAAGCCATTAGACACACGATTTATCTTTCCAAAAACTTACCTACAAAATCGCTTCTTAACATTACGCTGTATGAAGCTTGGTTTGACAAAAATCCAAACCTTGCACATTTGAAGGTCTTTTGTTGTGTTGTCTATGCCAAAGTTGTTGGTGTACATCTGAAGAAACCATAAGATTGGAGCACAAGATGGTGTACCTTGGGGTACAAGATGGAACTAAAGGATATTGATTATTTGATCCACAGATAGACAACTACAGAGTCGTAACACCAAAAACGTTAACAATACTTGATATGGACAACCACAAACTCAACCTACTACAACGGGATAGCCCCGAAGTCAACTTGGAAAATCCAGACAACCCCTATATCGAATCTGTTTAACCCGAAATAGCCTTATATACTCCTATTCCGACCCTGTTTTCTTCAAGCTTAATCGATACTAAAAGCCCTTCAAGTGAATTTGGGCCAAAAGTATTTCGCTCTCTTGACGATATCTATAATGATGCCGAAAATATGATCCTACAACCTAGAGAATTATTGATGATTGCAGCAGATCAACCCTTGAATTTTAAAGAGGCGGTTACCTCTAAACCATGGTAGGAGGCCATGCAAACGGAGTTGGATGCAATCATGAAAAACAAGACGTGGAAGCTTACCGACTTGTCATTGGGTCACAAGGCGATATCAATTAAATAAGTCATTAAAGTGAAAATAGGAAATATTGGAAATTTCATAAAACATAAAGCTCGACTAGTCGCAAAAGGTTATATATGAAAACAAGGAGTCAACTTTGATGAAGCTTTTGCACCGGTAGGGAGACTCGACACCATAAGGCTCATTATTGCCTTAACGACTCAACATTAATGGGTAGTCCACCACTTGTATGTCAAGTAGGATTTTCTTAATGGCGATCTCGAAGAGGAGGTTCATGTAAGTCAACCGAACGGATATATAGACAAATTACTTATTCACAAGGTGCTCAAACTATTCAAGGCGCTTTATGGTTTACGAGAATCCCCTCGAGCTCTGAACAATCGTCTCGATAAAAGCCTAAAAGGAATTGTTTTTTTGAAATGTTCACAAGACACGACGACGTATGGAAAAACTCATTTAGTTAGTGTCTATGTCGATGGCTTAATCATTACGACATCAAATAACTAAGACATTGTGGAATTCAAGGAACAAATGAAAAAAAAAATCGAAATAAGTGATTTGGGTTTACTTTCTCACTATATTGGAATAGAAGTGTAGCAAAAGGAGTGTGGAATTTCTTTCCAAAAAATGGCTTACGCAAATTTTTTTTTTGGAGCAATTTGGGTTACTAGATTGCAACCCGACAACTTCACCCACATAACCTACGTTTAAGGTTAAGCAAGATAAAGACGATAAAAAAGTTGACTCAACCGAATATAGGCGAGTAGTGGGTTGTTTAAGGTACTTGGCACACACTCGATAAGATTTTCCATATGTGGTTGGAATTGCTAGTCGTTTCATTGAGCAACCAACCACCTTGCAATTTAAAGTTGTAAAACATATTTTGTAGTATGTCAATGGAACCATTGATTACAGGCTCAACTATTGAAAGGGTCGTGAAGTTGAAGACTTGCCTGACTTTAGTGATAGTGATCATGGAGGTGACAAGGTGGGTGGCAAGAGTACAAGAGGGATGATTTTCTACCTAGGAAGAAATTCAGTGACATGGCAATCTCAAAAGCAAAGGATTGTGGCTTTGTCAAAATATGAAGCTAATTTCATGGCAGCAATGGGGGCTGCATGTCAAAACATTTGGCTTGGGAATATGTGAAGGAGATTACGACACATCATATCATGTCTATCACCTTGTTTGTTGACAACAAGTCAACGATTCAATTGATGTGGAATCCTGTGTTTCATGGTAGAAACAAAAACATTAACATTCACTGTCACTTCATAATGAAATGTATTGAGGAAACACAAGTCGTAGTAGAACATGTCAACTCAAAGGATCAACGAGCGGACATTTTTACAAAAGCCTTGACACACGTAAAGTATGGTAAAATGCGAAATATGATCGGTGTGACAGATATTGAACTTGGTCCAGTTTAAGGAGGAGAATGTTATAATAAACTGGATAATAATAATAATAATAATAATAATAATAATAATAATAATAAATTGAATTGTTAGATAATTTTTTTAGTTAAATGTTGGAAGGGAATGATAGAAAATTTTGGAAATGATAACTATCTCTCACAAGAAGGATACCTTTATGAAATGGTATAATTGTTTTTTTTTTCTTTCTTGGATAGTTTTTTAATAAACAATTGAAGGTAAAATTGTTTAAAACATCTTCCGAATTGTTTGTCATGAAAAAAAAGTGACACATCTTTGTCTCTATTAGTTTAATAGTTAAGGTAGAGATATTCCAAATTTTAAGGAATGTTTATGGATTTTTTTTAGATTCCTTTTATTATAATATTAGTCGTTTTAGGGTATAAATTTGAGTGGTGTTTAGCCGCGTCTTGTAATCAAATTGTAACGGTCTTTTTTTTTCAATAAATAACTTATGTTTTTAAGCTTCTTCTAATACTTGGTCTTATTTTCTCTTCTGTTTTTTATATATTCTTGTTAGTCCATAATGTGAACGATGAATCATCTTAATATTAATATTAAATACAATTAGGTCAATTATTTCCAACAAAATTTACGATCAATTATCTTAATATTGCAGACAATTATATCAATTATTTCCAACAAAATTTTCTCAAATAATTATGATAAGAGGGTAGGATTCAATTGTGCTAACAAGAAGTTTGGGATTTGAACCAAATTTTTTAGACGGATGACAAACAAAACGTCATTAATTAGACGGATATTAACATATTATATATCATCTAGCAAACTGAGTTCAAAAAAATTGTTTATGTGTGGCATATTGTCAAATCTGTTTGCATTCACTTCAAACCATTTAGGAACTCGGTAATCAAGTGGCATTACAAGAACTCTTGGAATAAATAATATTGAACAATTCGGTTAATCAATAATGAACAATTGTACACTTACTACATCCTTACAATATAAAGCTCTAGGTCCCCCCCAAATCAACTAGTGCAAGACGATGATTACTAGATCTGGTTGCTGGCTCAAACCCAGATTTTCACCTGCATTTCTTTCAAACTTCGGTTGACAAATTAAACAAACAAACGAAAGTAAACGAAATCTTGCATATTTGGGTAACCCTAATTACATAATTTTTTTTTTTCCACAACTGATTCGTTGTAATCACTTTGTGATTCCATCTGACCCCAAAAGCTCGACTGAAGAGTTAAGTTTGAAGAGCTTACTGCATGACAAGAGTACTCATCAGGAAATTTTTTCAAATCATATTGTTGCATCTTAATCCGCATTTTTTCTTTTGTCCTTTCTCTAGCCCTAGCTCTTGCCTCTGCTCTTGACTGCTCTCTCGCAAGATCAACACGATGCCCGGATTGCTTTTTTTGAGTTATTTTCTTCATTTTTCCATTAACAAACCTGAATTCAGACTTGTTCTCACCTTCATCGTCATCAAGAAAAGCCAATTCACATTGTCCAGTACTAACAGTGGATGACGATGAGTGCTTTGTTTCTTCAACCAGCTCCTTAATGGCGACCTTGGATTTCGTAAACAACCAATCGAGGGTTTTGCTTGCTTTGTCGAACCCTAGCATGTTCTGAAGCTCAAAAAACTTTCGAGCAATTTCAATGGACAATCTCACCCTCCGATCTCTAGGGCCTTGAGCTGTGTAGATTTTACTATGCCCATCTTTCTTACTGTTCACTGTTTTCTTCTTACAAGGATAAACTATTGACTCTAAAAGATCATCATAATCATCACTATACTGCAACACAGATCCTTCTTGAACCTGCTGCTGACAAATCAAATCTTGCATATTTGCATTGACCTCCGGTGGTGGTGATGAGGGTGGGGGAGAGACAAATGGGTTCCTGTTGTGTTCATGGTGACTAAAATAAAAACCATCTTTTTCAAGGTCAAAGAATGAACTGAAAGTAGGAGAGACATGGCTTGAAGAAGGAATTTTTTGGGAAGGATTTGAAGAACACATTGTATTTAGAAACAAAATCTGAAAATTGATACTTTCTTAATCAAGATGTTCAAATATAATATTATAAAAGAAGATCTTGGTAAGATTGAATTTAAAGGACTTTCTCCAATCGTAAGCTTTTGCACTGTGCATCTTCCGTTTTAGGGCACAAGTCGGATCATACATGTTCCTACTAATGAAAAAAAAAGGCATAGACTACAGGTACTATCGGATAGAAACTGTACTACCTTTACATTTCAAGATAATTAATTATATATTAATAAGTTGAAAAGAATAAAAACCTAGATATGGTTTAAGTATATATACATAAGTAAGAATGCTCATTCACATGACACTGGTTTTCAGTATGTACCAATTTAGTTCGCGGGATATGATTTCAGCACTGCATAATCTTACTTGGTAAAGTGCTGTTATATAATATTATAATATATTACATTGGTCAACAATAGAAAAATATAATATTCAGTAGAATCGAACACCCAGTTCATCAGACCTTATGTGAGTCTGTGACCTATATTATATATGCAATCTATTGATATGACCACATTTGTTGAGTCATTCTTATAAGTGATAGATAGATCAGTTAAAACAGTATTTCCGGTCTTAATGGAGTCGGGGAAAAATCATTCTTGTGAAAGTGTTTCTTACATAATATACAGAATTTTAAAGGTTAATATATCAACATATAGCAACCTACTATCAGGAATGTGGGCTTTGAAGTCTATAATATATATTTTAATTTTAATCAATAGTTTTTTATTTAGTTTTAAAAAACTTAGCAATGTAAGAAATTTTATCCGATAAACCAGTAAAGTTAGGTTCCATATATGCGTTCATTAGGACATATTTTGTTACTGTTTGATTTTTTTTATATCGACGTGATGTGGATATTTGATCCACTAGTCTTTTTTATTTTAATTTTAGTTTTTTTGAAATTAAAAAAAAATTATTAAACTTTCATATATATTTTTAACAAAATTTTAAAATAAAATCATGGAGACCAAATGGCTTGATCCCATAAAAATTGCCACAATTGCTTAATACTCAAGAATGAAATAGCTTAATCATCAAGAATGAAATGGCTTGATGATCCAATTTAATTTCGGGTTTGTTCAAATCAATTGCACTAAATTTCATAATGTTTACAACATTACAGCTTATAAATCATGATTTGGCAAACTTTGCAATGGAGATTGATATCTACGATCTTGTGTACTTATGCTTCAATAATGATATATTATCTCGCGAATTTAACATGATATGCGAAGATATAAATATGTTTTCAAATTCTTTAACGAATTGTGTAACGCGTGGTAAATTTTGTATTCCTATTAGTTTTTTCTTAGTTTTTTTCAATAGCCAACCAATCATTTCATTCAAACCAAGCCTAGCAAGGCCGTCCACAAAAATTACGAATACAAGTTGAGTGATCCGGTTTTTTGGCCCATCAACCAATACTTATGTGAAATATAAACCTAGCTAGGCATGCAGTGTAGCTTTTTATTTCCTAAGAGTGATAGTTTTTTCTCTTCCTCGAAGGATACCAGAAAGCTAGCCTTATGGAAAAGAAATTCCTTTCGGGAATGATAGCTTTATGGTAGGATATCTTTTTTTGAATAAAAATTATCATATCTTGTCATTTTCATATTTCATAAGACTTTTTAGGTTTTATGGGATATGTCTAGATATGGGTCGAACCGGGAACCGGTGACGAGAGCAAATCAACAATGACCAGAAAGATAGTTTTTTCTCTGCTACGAAGGATAGCAGAAAGATAGTCTTATGGAAAAGAAATTCCCTTCGGGAATGATAGCTTTATGGTAGGATATATTTTTTTAATAAAAATTATCATAGCTTGTCATTTTCATATTTTATAAGATTTTTTTAGGTTTTATGCGATATGTTTAGATATGGGTTGAACCGGGAACCGGTGACGAGAGCAGTTCAACAACGACCAATTTTATGTCAAATTCTAGATCAGATCAAACCGGGCGGTAATTTTAAAAATACAGGTTGAACAAAGTGTGATAAAACTTGTAAACAACGATTTCAACTTGCTAGTTTATTGGACTTCGAGTTATTTTTAGGGTTCATTGCCAATCTCAAACACCCTTTTAGATCAGTAATTCCCTAGGTGATGTGGCCTTTTGGAGCATTTGTTGACTTGGAGAAGAAGAGAAGAAGGTGCTCTATTGGTGAATCTTGCAAGGAAACAACATCATCAGCATCTCACATTGCTTATATATCTTTGTAAGTGTCAAAGGCTCAAACTTTAGGACTTGAAGTGGTTAGATCTAAGTTGATGTCGCATGTTTTTCGTGTTTAAGCATGTTTGAATGGAAGGAACACATAAAGTTGGCAACTTTATGCTTTCTAAAGGTCGCTTGAGTATGATAATCTTTAGATCTAGGAGTTGGTTGAAGATTGGTTTCATGCATATGAGTTTTTGGTCACTTTTAGCTCATTTTGACCTAGAATGGATTCTAGACATGTATTGGATATGCATGTCTATAAAGTTTCCACCTTTTATCCTAGACCTGGTATTAGAAACTCTCCTAGAGTGGTTCTTGGGTTAAGGGCTTAATGGTTAAGACATGGTTGTATTTTGCCTTATTTGGACCTACGGTTGGAGATCTTGATCAATTTCGGTGTCTTAATGTATAAAGTTGGAAACTTTATCCATTTAGAATATATCACTACTACAAAAAGTCTCATATGATCCAGTTAAATCAATAAAATACCTCGTTTTTGAACCGGGTCCTATGGTTAGTGAGTCCTATGTGAAAACAGAAATAAAATATGGTTTCAAAATCGGGTCCTATCGGTCTGAAAAGAACTCGGTTTTTATAAAAAACAGGACATATAACAAGATTAAAATACAAAGAACCGGACCACCTAAGGATATTTGGCCACGGTTCTACCTCACAAAACTGGGTCATATAATTAAAATATAGCCCGTTCTGATTCAAAAAATCGGGACATATAAGATTTGTAAAATACTTGTTACGACCCAAAAGCAGTGATAACATTTCCATTAACCATTAGTTCCATACATCAGATGTATCAAAGTCAACCACAATAAAAAAATGTCAAAAACATTATAGTACAAATAATCATAAGTGTGGAATCATGAGGGGGAATGTTGTGTCATCACGTTGGACGCTTCCCTTTCGTATCGGAAGTACCTGAAACCATAAACATAAACTGTAAACATGAAGCTTAAAGAGTCCCCCAAAGTACCACATACCAAACATAAAATTCGGCCCATTCCTGGGTATATTCTAACCCAATATTCAATCTTGGGCCCAACCCCTAGGGTTTCTTTCAACCCATCATATACTCGTGGACATATCCCTGGCCTAACCGTAGAGTTTATTTCAACCCGATATACAATAATGGCCCTATTTCAACCCAATTATACAAACATGCAAAAGTCACAAAGACAGCTAACATCCTATATACACAATTCAGTGGGCCAGAATTTATGCCTGCGACCCACAAGCATAGTGAGAAAACTCACCTCAAACTGAAGATAACCGAATCACCCACGTACTAGCTGCTACAAGGACTCCTCACATTGAACACATCCAAAACCTACTATAATTAATAATTAGGGTAATAACCCATAATCAAGGTCCAAATCATATCTCTCTTAATTAGGGTAAAAGACCATTCTACCCTTTCCTAACTAGACCAAACTAAGCATGGTCCAAAGCCCAAAAATGGCCCAAGGCCCAAAACTGACACAAAATGCACTTTGGGGAGTACGCTATGCGTACTCTCCCATTACGCTCTGCGTAATAGGTGATCACAGAAATTGTTATGGGGCATAACTCGTTATGCCATGTGTACTCAGAGGTTACGCCCTATGTAAACCTCTGTTGTCCAAAACCACTTCCGAGCTCTTAATGGTTAAAGACTAAACGTCTAAATCACATATCTTAATCTTGGGAAGGTCTTAAATGATAAAGTTGACAACTTTAAGCTTTTGCATGGCTTAATGGATGCCAACATCGAACCCTAAGTCCATAACATCCTTTAATAACCTAAAACTCTTGTATGAGTGATAAATAACAAGAAATACTTCATGTTTATGACATAAGATCCTTAAAAACTGTAACATCCAGACTCCCAGGCATATTATTTATATATTTATTTTTGGGGTTTTTTGAGTAACTCGGCGAGTTGGTGCTTCAACTCGTCGAGTAGAGTCGTGATTGGCCACGGGGGTTAAGTGACCAACTCGACGAGTCAGAGAGTCGACTCGCGGAGTTGGCGCTGTGAGATGAAACCCTAAATCTCTGTGGTTGGGACCTATTTAAAGGACCTTATGTCCTTCTTTCCGCCTCACCAGCCACCCAACTCCCCTGTGTGAAACCCTAATCGGCCAATGGAGCTAAGAGAGAGGGAGAGAGCTTATTGTGAGAGTTTTTGTTGAGCCATTGGAAGAAAAGAAGAGATATTCAAGCAAGGAACGAGGAAAGGCTGTGGGATCCAGTGTACTTTCGTCCAAAGCTTCAAGTGGAAGGTAAAAAGCCTGCACATTTCTCATCTATTTGGTTAGATCTCATGATTATGGAAGTTTAGGGTTTCTACCACCTTTTATTGGGACTTTGAGTATACTGAGTTATCAGGAGATCTAGACCTCAGATCTGGACCTTGTGAGGTCCCTAGAGTCCAAAGTGTTGGGTTTTGAGCATTCTAACACTCCTATGGTGCACATGCAACCCTATAAACCTTGGATCTATGTTTTCTCT